ATCGTTTCTAAACCGAAACTGTTTGAACCGGGATAAAAACCGTTTACACCGAACCGTTAACAAACCGCAACCTGTCTGCACCGAACCGTTTACTACCCGGACTGTTTACAACCCGGACCGTTTACAACCCGAACCGAATTTAAACCGGGATAAAAACCGTTTACACCGAACCGTTATCAAACCGCAACCCGTCTGCACCGAACCGTTTACTACCCGGACCGTTTACAACCCGGACCGTTTACAACCCGAACCGAATTTAAACCGGGTTAAAAACCGTTTACACCGAACCGTTAACAAACCGCAACCCGTTTGCACCGAACCGTTTACTAACCGAACCGTTTAGAACCCGAACCGAATTTAAACCGTTCAAGAATAAACCGAAACCGAACCGAACCGATAATTATTTAAACCGAACCGAAACCGACCCGTAAGACATTTGAACCGATTTCAAACCGACCCGATTTCAAACCGAACCGATTTCAAACCGAACCAAAACCGAACTGTCAAACCGTTTTGACAGTGCTACGTATATCTGATAAGGGCCTTCCCAATCTACAGTGAACTTACCTTCTGCATTCCCTTTATCAGTAACGACAGTTCTTCTTAGAATCAGATCACCATCTTCTAAAGGACGATAATCCACTCCTTTATTATAGGATCTGCTCATTCGATTCTTGTAAGTTGCCGATTTAACTATAGTCTTTAACCTTAACTCCGGTAAGAAATCCAGTTATTGCCGCAAAAGCAGTTCATTTTGTTCTTCACAATAGTGTTGAATTCGGAATGTAGAAAGGCCGACTTCAGCTAGGACAACGGCCTCTGGCCCGAAAGCTGACCTGCTGGTATCTGGAAAATGCATCCATGAAACTAAGCATGCCATGCCCTAAAGTTGAATCTGCCAACCTATCGATCCGTGGTAATGGATAGCAATCCTTTGGGCAAGCTTTATTCAAATCGGTGAAGTTCACACAAATCCGCCACTTTCCTAACGGTTTCTTCATATTGACCACATTTTCCAACCACTCCGGATAAGTGCATGGATCTATAAAACCTTCCACAAGGAGCTCATTAACTTCAACATGTATCGCCTCAATCATCTCACTCGAGAAGTTTCTTTTCTTTTGCCTTACCAGTCTAATCTTTTATCCACATTTACCTTGTGCACCATCCACATTTTCTTTCAGTAGATCCACCATGTGGAATTGCAAGTCTATATCCATATCAGAACCTAGCCTCACCATTTTTCCCAAAACTCCCAATTGCAGCTCGATCTCTACGGTTTCTCCTTCAAGTGACGGTCAGGATACCGACAACATAGGCCTTGTATCAAAGTTTCCCATTGATAAGTCATGTGTGGAAGGTGTTCTTTCTCTTTTTTTACTATCGGCTTCTTCAGGAATGGTTACTTCTCTTGTCGGTTGGTTTAACGCTGTTCCGTAACATGACCATGCTGTTTCCTGGCTTCCACTTACACGTTCGAGATAGACAATATTCGATACATATATCATTTTTAATAGATATGTCGAAACCACATCTTGAATATCATGAATCATGGGTCTACTAACAATAGCGTTGTATGTTGATGGCACAACTACTACCAGGAATTCTGTCATGACATCCCTTGCAGCCGCCCCCTCACTTATTCGAGCTTGGAGGGTGATACTACCTTTTAGCCTCACGGTAACGCCATTAAAGCCGATAGCCGGGTCTGACACTTTTGCCAAATATTGCCTTCCAATCAACATGGCATCATCAAATGCCTTCATAAAGATTATGTTCGCTGAGCTTCCTCCATCAACCAGGATTCACTTTACCAAGCTTCTACCTAGCAATAATTCTAACACTAATGGGTCATCATGAGGGAAAAATATCCCCCTGATATCTTTTTCTGTGAAGGACACAGTCGGCACTTTGGGTAGTCGGGGCCGCTCTCCTACCTCCAGGGTGTTAACCAAATGCCTATGCTCTGATAGGCTTTTTTTTGCTCCATTGAAAGACCCTCCATGCACCGGTTCGCCTATAATGACATCAACAACAATGTTCTATGATGCCGGCATTTGCCTTCCATCCCCTTGTCGGCTAGATGCTAGTGCACGTCTTTCACCTCTGTGATCAGGCTGATTATATTCAAGTTGCCTGGCTAGCTACTGCTGTTGTCGACCAAGTTCTTAGTGTGCCCGACATTGCGAGAAGTGTCCCTTCCGGACCAACTCTTCGATGTTTTCTTTTAGCTGGATACAATCTTTGGTATAGAGAACATACAATATTTCTTCATATCTCTACCCTTTGACCTCATCAGTGCCGACCTAACCAAATCTTCTCTTTACTGATTGACAGAATAGATCCCTGCACACGGCGTATTTAGCAAGATATAATTATTGTATCGCCCCTCTCCTTTACCAGCTCTTTTGTCTTGTCGGCTTCCACTTCCTCTTGATTGACCCTACTGACTAGGCTTACTGGTTTCATGCACAACGCTATCAGTTTGACGCCAATTTGTTTCCATCGGCGCGACTCTACTACTCGTTTTCAAGAGTTCTTCACCCTTGATCGTGTGATTTACCAAACGCCGCCCCTAAGTTCGGGAAACTCTTCTGTGTTAGATATCTCTTGAATTCACAATCATCCAATCCATTCATTAGTGTCATAACAGCTATCTCTTGCTGTAACTTTGGAATAGTATTTGCTTCATTGTTGAATCCTTTGATGTAGTCCCTTAGCGACTCATCCTTCATTGGCACTACAACCATCAATTTTCCACATGTACGCTACCGCTATATTGCTTATGTACTAGCCGGTAAACTGATCTACTAGTTTCTCAAAACTATCAATCGAACCATGCTCCAACTTTGAAAACCAACCCGATGCTACTTCGGTAAGGGTTGTAGGGAAAACCTTACACTAGACGACATCCGAATTGGTGTATAACAACATGTGCTCTTCGAATGAAGCCACATACCTCTTCGGGTCACCTTTCCTGTCATACTTACATGATGGCATCTTGATTTTTTCCATTGGTTGATCGAGAAATTCCTGAGTAAATGGTGATGCTTTATGCTTAACAACAGTTTTTGACATTCGGCTTACTGTACCGACAGTGATTCCCTACCTCTGTGAACCCGAGTCGCCGATATGGTCATATGGCTCTTTCACGAAGGGCGTTGTCTCTTTTTGAGGGTGGTGGCCTTGATATCGATGATCCCTCACTTGCTTTAGCCTCATTTTGATTATGACGGGGTTGCACAGCATTGTTAAACTGGCTTTCCATATTAACAACTATCGGTACTGCCTGTGCCTGATTTCCTTCCGCCTGGCCGATAGGCATATCGCCAGCTTCTTTTCTCTTTCTTGACATTGCATGCATTACCCTTGCCATTAACTCAATCTCTTCAGGAGTAAACTCGACCAAGGGGTCTAGTATATCAGCATTCTGTTGCTCAGGAGTTAATGGCATGTTGAATGCATCTCTTTGTATAGTGTGAGTTTCATCTTCTAATAAAATTTGGGGAACATTGTTAACAGTCTTACTTGCGCCGATTTTCAGGGTACCGTTAATTGGAATATTGGTATTGACAATTGGAATGTCAATGTTTTCGGCCATGACTTCTTAAGGCTCTTAGACGATAGAAGTTAGTATTGTCCCCTCCTTCTAGCGCCAATTGTTACGGATGAGCTTTTGTAACTTATATCTAGGGTTGATAAAGGTTTATCGTCCAATTAGATACCCACATAATCAACGTGGATTAGCAAACCTTTTGTCCGGAGATATTCAATTCGATGATAAAGTAAGTAAAAGGATGATATGAGTAAAAAAGGATGTTGGAGAGAATAATTGTAGAGAGAGGTTTAGGTAAAGAAAGTCGTACTTTAGACCACTCTCATTCATTGGCAAATAAAAATATGTCATTCTCTCTCTACCCAGTTTCTCACTTCTCTTTCCCACTTTTTCTCATGGACATTTTATTTTTACAACTTCTCACACACTCATGGGCTATAAAAAAAACTCACACCTCTCTCTCCTATTTTTTCTCTCTCCTAAACATAACCATCTTCTAATTATTTTTTAATATATGCAGCTTTTTATTTTTTGCTGATTTAAGTTCCATGGCCCACGTCTACTATAGCAAATAATTTCTGCCGTTGCTATGGGCATTTGAGAATTTCCTCATGGGCATTTTCTTTAATTCTCTTGGGTGGAATGCAATTTAAACCTTTTTTACCATTATATTCTCCTCATGGGCAAAAAATGCCCATGAGTGAGAATGCTCTTAAAAGAGAATCATGCTTGGGTATTTATTGAAATCCCCAAACTGGTGCCACATGTCGGTCCAGGTAGCTAGTATGTCAAGTGAGCGGTGGGTATACATGTGGTCGAAAGCAGCTCTCCACGTGGCCAACATTTGAAGGCCAATATGGGTAAAATGACGGTATAGAAGGTGATCCAAAAGACAAGATCCGACTCGGTTTACCTATTTCATATCGGTGTCCGTACCATCTCGTATAGTTAGGCCCTATTCTTTTGAGCTTTTAGGGAAGTAGAGCAGAGCAGAGCAGGTATCAACAGTGCAGAACAGAGCAGAGCATGTGTCAGCAGAGCACATCAGACCACAACTCAAAGAACAAGGCATTAGTTATATAAAAATTGATAAAATTATTTTGTCAATTTTGTAAAATTCTGAATTTTTATTGGAAAATTGGTTTTATTAATCCCAAATGGTTTGTAAATGGTTAAAGTTGTATCCCTGTTCTTGTTCTTCATCATTTAAATGTCTCATCTTTTATCTTTTATATTTATAAAATTAGGAATGAATGTTCACATTTTGTTAATATTAAGATGTCATTAGTTGTGTTAAAAGCTTTTATTATTGAGCGCGAGATCTAGATTCGAGTATTGAAGCTAACATTTGTTTGAGAGAATTGAGAATGATGGGATAACATGTGTTGCATTTGAGTTTTGATAATATAGCTTTCATAATGCACATTTCATTACTAGCTACGTTTGCTCACAAGCATTAGTAATTTTTACAATTGCTTTTTAGCATATTTCCTTTAAACATTTAATCACTCAAGAAAAACATTATTTATTCATATCTAATCTGTAATAAATAACAAGATATTTGGAACTAAAATACAGTATTACAGCCTATTAAAAAAACAAGTGAAATGTCTCCTGTCTAACAGAGATTATGCATCTTCCTTCTTTTAGCTGAAGTTCCTGTGATCACATTTTGTTTGTTATTCTTGCTTGCAAAGAACTCGCCTCTATTATCGCCCACCACAAGCAAAAGAAAAAAAAAACAAAATTAAAACGATTAGCACAAAATTGTCCTCTTACTTCAGAACACCAGAGCAAGAATAAATGTCAGCTAGTAGTGTTTTGACATCAGTCGTTCCTGCTATTATGTTGTTCATAGAACACTCTTTGAATGTGCTGCTGCTGGAACTCTCTTTGACAATGTAAGACTTGTGATAATTATGTCCGTTAATCCTTTTGTGGAGCTTCCTATAGAACAATTATTTGAGCAAAATCGTACACCAGTCATGAATATAGTGCTCAGATTGTGATGTATGTTGCTTTCAGTTCCAGGGAAGCAATGAACACAAATTTAACTTCATATATACCTTTTACAATACTTTTCAACCGTATACGACTTTGCTTTTATCTACATAAGAAAAAGCAAGTCAAGGCACAATAGCGCAACATAGCTTGTAACTTCCATTAGCATTATATCGGATACGTACTAATTGGTGATGTATAGCAGTTAGGAAATCTTTGGAGATATTTGTAGGACCAACTCTCCTGAACTGGCAAAACTGAATATATATGATTAACACATAGAAGATCAAAGATAGTCCTTAATTGTTATTAGCTTTCATCCTCGATCACATCTTCTAGTTCTTGTAGGTGCTCTTTAAGAGGTTGCCCTATGATCTCCCATTTTTCCCTACTCCAAGCAGAGTCAACTTCTGGCAACTCATAATCATCCGGTCTCAATGATAATTGGAACTCAGGCAACTCGGGTGGTGGCTGTAGGCCCCTGCACCATCCAAACTCACCCATGTATTACAATCGAGAAAGCAGGAAAAATAAATGATATGAACAGGAAATCTAAGAAAACAAAGAATGAAGCGCGTGTAGATAGTTACATACTTTTCTTGATCAAACAAGTAGCTGTTCATCTGAGACTTCTTGGAAGCGGTGTCTGGAATCTTTTGATGGAAATGCTTCATTGCACCCCAGAGTGGAGGAACTCTATACAGGGGAAACAGAGCCAGAATAAATGTTGCTGTTAATAAACTTTCAGATATTTCCCTTTTTCTACTACCTATTTAGGCTAGTTCTAGAGCACCTAAATGCTTAAGAAGTTAAATGTCATGCCTAACTGCTAATAATGTATAAAAATTTAAGCATTTTAGTGGTTTTCAGAAACCGGAGTTTTATTCTAGACAGTTTCATATGCGAAACATAAGGTACTTATAATAATACCTGTTAACAGGAGAAGCCAAGCAAAAGCTTAAACAGGCTTTCCTGCTTTCCGCCAAAAGTTCCTCAGCAGCAACATAACTGCCTAGTGCATTCATATGGGACAAGGGCTCATTACTTTTCTCAACGATCAAACCGTGGTAGAAGTAAGCTGCAGCCTGATAACAATCATGTTCAGCCCCTAATCGATATTAGAACAAAGTTGTGCAGTTCTTATAAACGAAAAAGGATGTCAAGAATCCATTTAAACAGAAAAAAAAATAAATAAATAAATAAAAACCAAGTACCTTGGCTTCTAAAAATTTATATTTGATGAACAATGATTGCTTTCCTGCATCACTCTCATTGGTTTTTTCTCCAAATAATGAACAATGAGCCTGGAAGATTTTAACATATTTTCAAAATTTATGGTTAGCTCATCAATCTGTAAAAACTACTCCGTAAAATATTGAAATCCTAGTTGAAACAAAACTATGAATTTAGGCAATGTGCACGCTACTAGAATTTTTACCTGAGTGAAGAAGGTCTGCTCTTCGCATGCTAACCTCCTCTTTACTGATAATGTGGCTTTTTGGTTATCAATAGCCAACCCCAACTGCAATTCTGTTGCCTGAATTCAATTCTAGAGGTCAGTACTAGTCCGACTAACTTTAGAGTTTAGATAGCAGAACGAAGTAGAGATCACCTTAATACCTACTGCTAATTGTAAGGAATAAAGAAAGCTGTTTAAAGCACTTCCTAATAGAGAGCAAGCTTGATCTACATGATGTTTTGACCACATTTAAGTTGATTATTGAAATTCTTTCAAGAATATAACAGATCCTATACTGACAATTCTAGCCATAACATAAATCATCTATGGCAGAAAGTCGATTTCAAATGACAAATAACACGACTTTTCATACCCATCAGCCTCATAATTGAAGTCCAAATACATGACAAACTAGAAGTACCTGGCCGAGTGCTTGTAGGGAAAGAGCCTCTAATGCACCTTCACGCATGTCTTTGTGCAACTTGTTCCTGGTGGAAAGATCTTTCATATCATAAAACTGCCGGTATAGTTACCTTAGCAGCACTCTAAGAAAAACAAAATGTTTTAACATACTTGATTTCCGGTCCTAATTGAGGTAGAATACTCTTCACACAAAAATCTAAGTACCCTGATGCCTTTAGAAGCATATCAATCGCATCCCTCTGGCAATCTGTTAGATTTAAATCCATGATCAAGAAAATTAACCACTTATTTCTCTTTTAAAGCTCGAAATTTGACTAGTCAATCTAAAAGGTGTATGTACCTGTAGAAACTATCCTATCAGAAGAACCAGTGTATTGCTTAGGAACAAGCAACATGTTGGCTTCAACCAATGTCAAAACGGCCAGCATATAAACCACTGATAATACTTCATACCATGTATTCGTTACACAAATTTCCTGCTTAAAAAATTCAACGATCCCAAATTTATACTTCGTATAATCTAGATCACATAATAAACCATCATTATTTCAATGAATCAGTGTAAACTTTTAGTCATTTTCTTACTTCTCTTTTATCATCTAAAGTTCTCCATTTGTATGGCACTGCATCTAATGCGCCATAATCTATCACAAACAAAAGAACAAAAATGAGTCAACAATATAATAACAACCCAGAAAAGTAGCTTGGAAAATTTTGATTAAATTAGAAATAAAACCTTTTTTAGTGAGTCCAAGCAGGACAGGCAAGTACTCCTCAAGAGCCTGCTTAATCTCAGGAATCGCCAAAACATCTGCATAACAAACATGATCAAAGATTTTTAGTACAGTTCTTACTTTCCAATCAAAATGAAAAACTCACACAATGATCATACAGACCAGTGTCTTCAGAGAGTAAGATGACACGATTTCGAAAATCGACAAGACGGTCAATCATATCCTTTGGAATCAACCCTTTCAGCCCTTTATGAAGCTCAGATTGTACAGGAATTTGCATAGTTGGAACAAACACAACAACTTCAGCAATCATCATCTTCTTCTTTTTTCCTCCAGTATGAAGTATTGAAGAAGTGCACCCCATTATAAAGCCTTTTTCAAGAGGAAGGCAACACCTGTAATAATTATAATCAATAAATTGCATTTTAAGTGCTTTATTTGTTAAACATAATCCATAAAACATCACAATCATATCATAAACTAATAAATTTTGAAGGGTTCCACCAAATATAATGAGTCTAGATATAATTTAAAATTGTACATAAACGGATGAGATTAGCTAAACTAAAAGTAAATTAGGTATCAACAAGTTCTGATTAACAGATGGCAGAATTACAAGGAAAGTGTAGACGTTTGCAAGATTTTATATCTAGTCAAAAAACGTTGACCCAGATAACAAAACCGTCCATCTTTTAAGAGATACAGACGTGATATAAGGAGCTTAGAATAGTCGGCTAGCTCTCTGACTTCAACCAAGAATTCCCCTCCTATGGTGGGTCTTCTCCAATAATACAAATATGACCAAGTACGAGTACAAATTCTTGGGTAGTCATTCTATGACCATATAATGTGCAAAAATGGTTAAGTGTACTCGAGAACATGATGAACGTACAAAGATTACGAAGAGAAAAAACTTACAAGGAATCTCCAAATGAAAACAGGAGAGAAGAATTGGAGAAGTTTGGAGGGAAGGATTATAATGGGAATTGAATCCATAAAAAAAGAAAAAGAATCAGAATAAAAATAGTGTGAAAGAGGGGTTCAGTGAACGAGACAGAAATCACATGGCAAATGCGTAGGAAATGAAGTAATAGATCGGCAGAAGCACAGGTTTAAGAGTGCATGATTAGAAAGGATTTGATTGTTTTTTGGGATCTTAAACTTTGGCATTTTTCAAATGCAAGCTGTTCAAATTTAAATGTTAAATTGCACATGATAATTATTGGTACGTAATATGAATAATAAGAGCAGACTTTTGCAAAATGGTGTTATGTCAAATTTCACTTTGTATGTGTTGATCTTTGCCCAGTAAACATCCGCCATGATGTTTCAAAAGAAAATAAAAATAAACATCCGCCATAAAGCTACTTTTTTTTTTTTTCTTGGATTGTTGTTTGTCAAGGGGAACTACACCAAGTTGCCAACTAGGCTGACTTTTGGAGTTCTCTCAAAAAAAAAAAAAAAAAAAAAAAAAAAAAAAAATAACTGACTTTTGGAGTTGTTGTCACATTGTTGACCCTATAATCTACTTATAAGAGAAAATATAAGTTTATCTTATCATAAACAAAATCTTTTTATTTAAGAGTGTAATCGTCATTTTACTCATTTAAGTATGGGTAACTTTGTAATTTCAAGGATAAAAGATGTTAATAGCATAACTTTGTGAAGAACGGTCATTGATGGAGGATGGAGTTCAAAGAGCTTCAATGGAGATTTTAGAAGCTTCATTGGAAAAATTGAAGCTCAAGGGCAACTTCAGAGGAGGATGACAACCCTACCATTTGGGGTTGACCATGTCCTTTATTTCTCCCTTTTATCTTAAGTTTTTTGTTAAATTTAGCGGCTTCACCGAAAATGGTGGTGCTGATGGAGATGAAGAGGATGTTGTCGGTGGAGACGAAGAAGATAGTGTCAAAGGTTGGTGGAGATCAAAGGAGGAAGGAGGAGGCGGAAGTTCAATGGAGATAAGCAGCATGTTGTGTACTGAGGAAGAAAAGCCCGCTTCACAATTTGTTAACGTCGTTACACTCATCTTTTTACAGCTGGACAATTCTAATTTGAAGAAAAATTAAATTATTTTAATCAACTAGACAATTCCCAATGTCCATAGATAATCGCCCCATGTTTATCATGGTGATAAATTGGGACTTGGTCATGATCCAATGACTAGGTCGAGGCGACTTCTACGTATCTTACACATTACCAAACAACTATCAAAATAACAATAGTCAAGGGAAGGGCTTGATGAGATAACATAGAATTCTCAGCAACCTCCCAACTTGCTTCATAATCAGGGAATCCATCCCATTGAACTAGATGCTGCACCTGCGCCTTATTCTAAAACTTAACTACATGTCTGCCAATAATGGCAGCAGACCGTAAAGAAGACTGAGAACTGTCCTGCCCTTAGCTTGAAATACAACTGGAATATGAGATGCAAAATCCTCTAATGACCTTTAGCTTAGTAACATGAAAGACATCATGTATCTGAGTTTTGGAGGCAACTTCAACTTAAGCTACTTTAACTAATAACTACTTGAACTTGAAAGGGACCAAAATACTCATAAGCTACTTAGCTACTTTTGGTTACTCCTACTCTGTAAATATTACTGCCTGTAAGCAAGTAATTTGAGCCAAACCCAGTCAACAACCTCACAACTTCTCTTTGACTTGTGCTTATCAGCTTGCACTTGATATGGAGTGATATTTTTTGAGGTATGAAAATGAGTATTATACCACCATTCTGCTAGAGGTAAATGTTTACTCTACTTCAACCCTTTTCCAAACTGACTAAGAAACAACTAACAATGGACCTTGGGTTGGCCAACCATGATGCTTGAAAACATTGTCCATATAACATTGAGCAGCTTCTATTAATGTAAATGGATGAACAAGGGCCATGAAATGAGCATACTTACTCAGTCTTTCAGCCACTACAAAGATCATTTCCTTCCCAACAGATTTAGGTAGGCCAGTGATGAAGTCCATAAATATATCCACCTACAACTCTTCAGGAATAGGCAAGGGTTGCAGTAACCCTGAAGAAGTTGTAGCAGATTTTGCGGCTTGACATGTAGAGTGCACTGTCTCACAAATTTACTGACAATCTATCTTTAGCCAATCATTTCTAATAAAAAAAAACATTATTAATCCTTTTAATTGTCATCTCTCTTCCAGCATGATCACTCTCTGGAGAAGGATGGTGCCAAGCTATGATCTTAGTCTTTAGTGTTAAATCAGGTCCAATCGTGCACCACGTTACCATGTTTCTTGAGCAACCCACCATGCCATTAAAAACCAGGAACCAATACTAACTATTATTATTTGTGAAACTTACATGTTCATTGCTTGCAGGCCCTCATCTCTAGGCATATGACATCAAAATATTGATTTCATTTCCTATGAGAATTCCCCTAAAGATGAAAACAACACTATGTTCAGATGTAACAAGATGACTAGATCTAGTGCACAAGAAATACTTCTTCCGTTCTTTTTTAATCATACAGTTTTTAGAGATTTCACGCTTGTTAATGCACATAATATATAACATTTTTATCTTAATTTATATTTTTGTAAACATAAACAAGTAATATATAACATCTTTAGGGGTATTGACTTTTTTCATGCCAAACTGGTCACCAACGTGTTGTAACAAGTCACCTAGACACATGGCAATTTGTGATTGGTAAAAAAGTTTTTTTTTAAAAATAAAAAATGGCCACCTTGTTCCTCCACCACTATTGGACCCCCCTCCCCACAACCACCACCGAAACTAACCCTTTCCCAAGCTCTAACCCTTAAATAACACCCTCCCTAGCCCTAGCCCTAGCCTTGAAACCACCCCCTCTCCTCTCCAGCCACGATAACAACCCCTTCATTTAAACCCAGCTTGAAAACAGCACCCCCCCCCCTTAATAAACCCAACTTTAGCTCAAAAACATCCCGATGCAGGAGGGAGAGAAAGGAAGGTTGTTGATAGGGGGAATGAAGGGGGGGTTTTTGGCAGTCAGGGAGGTGGGGGGAAGGGGAGGTGGTGGCTAGAAGGTCAAAGGGTGGTAAGGGTGGTGGTTAGGGCAGAAGTCAATGGGAACGTAGGGGGAAAAATCTTGCTTAACAGGTTGACGATCACTTACACCTAATAAAAGAAAATATCCCTTAAAGTCGATATTATTTAAAAATAATCAAAAGTTGGGATTATTAAAAGAAAATCGGCTAAAGTTGAGATTATTAAAACCAATTTTTCCTAACAATTTTCTATGAGATTCAGATTTCTCTAGCTTATTATTAATTTATGATCATCAACATTCTTTTCCATAATTTGTTGCTTGCAATAATAATATTACAGCAAAATTACAACCCTCATTCACTAAATTCCTCACCAAACCAACATTATAGTAATACAAGTTATCCAAACATCAGCAACATTTTCATCATATAATCGGGCACATATACAAATTAAACAGAGAAGCCTCATAACATGACCCAACTTGAAAAATCCAAGCATCAATTGGAACCCGATTATTTTGCAATGCTTGCCATAGTAATCTAAGATTCCAAATGCTGCGATCCCAATTTGTTTTTCTGTTTAGGCCAAAATCTGATTGCCAGATAAGACCAGGTTCGAAATAACGAAAGCTAGATTAACTTGAATGAGAATGATTATGCAGGTTCAAGGAAATACGGTAAAGAAAGATGCAATGAATGAGCAAGGGAAAGGGGAGAAGAGACACGAGATGATGACGTAGAAAACCCCAGGAATAAGGGTGCGGGTGGCAGTGAGTCCACCAATCCACTAGGTTGACAGGTTGAAATGAATTCAATTTAGGTTTACAATACGATAGTAATGATGCTCAGGATTTCTAAGTAATAATTAATTCCTATCAGTGATAAGGCTGGATATTTTTTGATGCCTCTATACAATGATTGATTTCCTATTTATAGCATGAGAAACAACTTGGAAGACTTCAACGGCCTTACTCCGGATTCCTTGGAATCCGGGGTTAGTGGGTTAATTATGGTAGCTCCTGCTTCCTCACTTTCACTCTTGAAGACTTATCTGTTGCAGTTTGAATTGGTCTTCTCCAACGACATGCTAGTGCTTTGTGGTTCCGATATTCTTGGCAGTTCTCTGGACTTATTCAAACAAAGATACCCTTAGAATATTCATTATTAGAAAGATCTTTCCTTGACTTCGCTTAGTATCTGGGACTGGGTGACTAATCTCGTAGCAACCTGGAACCTTCAACCTAGCAACTTAGCAACCTGGCAACCTGCGAACAAGTGAACCTGAGATGAAAATTTAGGCATAACATTTTCCATGACAGAAATCACCAAACTCATGCTCCGAAATGCACTCCAATCTAAGTAATTATATAGCAAACCAAGGAATATCATTAAATAAGTTGTTATAAAAATTATATGTAAGTTCAACCTTGAGTTTATAAAATCAAAATAATTGGAATTTCTTAACACAAGATAGTCATTTGAAACAGCCCATAAAAGGCCTAACAAAGTCATAGTTAACATCAAGTGAACACAAATATAAGTAATGAAAGAACCCTTGAAGTCGATTTTATGGTGAAGAATTTCTTTGAAACTCAAAGTTGTTGTGTTGGTTTATCAAATGCATGAAGTTTTTCTGCAATTTTTCAGGGTTAATATCATGTTAAAGAGTTCAAGAATAGGATAAAAAAAAATAAAAAAAAAAAAAAAAGTTAAAAGGCTAAAACAGAAAGTTTGTAGCAAATTCGATAACAACTTGTTCAATACGGATTTGGGCCACACCCACAACCACGAGAGAGAGTCCATTTCACAAGTCCAAAGGAGGTTTCATCCAAAATTCATATGACAATAGGAGTAACCCCTTAGCCTTGTAAAGTGTACTATTTAACTCTCTCTTCTTTTCTTAATGTGGGACACTTACATGTGTTGTTTGGGAAGTTTATACTTCAATACTCCCCCTCACATATAAGATCCCTTAAATTTCGTCTCCGGTAATGTTTCATGGGCTAGAGCGCATTTTTTCACTCCTCCTCACACGAACCCACTCAATTTGGCCCAGTGTACTCATTACTCAAGCCATTAAAGGTTCCAAACCGTAAACCTAGCTCTGATACCATGAAGAATTTCATTAAACGTTGTATTTTCATGTTGCTTCTCATTGATGAAAGTCAAGGAATATATAATACAAAGTGGAACCCTTTACCAAACCCTACAACTCTCCCTACAAATATAGAAAAGC